TCTTTTCTCACCTCACCATAAAATGGTTTTCTTTGATAAAAACATCAAAGTCCGAATTGTGTTCACAGCGTTCAAGCTTTGTGTTGTCCACAAATTAAAAAAAGAGAATGTTCAAAGCTAAATATAATGGGAAGTTCCGTCCATTTTGCAGCTCGGCGGCCTTTATCCATTCCAACTTATAGTCGTACAGAATCAAATAACCGGAATGAATGAATTAAAATAATCATCTTAAGTCCTAGCTATGTCCTATATTATGAGCATATGCATTTTAGGTCTCATTAAAAGTGTACTCTTCATCTTCCAATGAGTGGAGATAGACAGATTGATCCAACAATCGTTCATCCATCCATTGCTCTTCTGCAAGAAAGGTACAGACGGTTGGAGAGAGCCAAGGACATGAGGCTGGAGAAAGAGCTCTTACGGATGTTGCCTGAATCAAGGCAGATCAATGCAGCTATTACTTATGTGCCATCTAGATCGCTTTTCCACCCTAAACTCATGCTTTCACAGCTGTCTCTTTAGTGTACAGTCAAAAGAGAAGCCAGTATGCAGAGCAAGAATACCAAGGTTCAGGCCATTCAGACTCAGACTCCACTATTGGAGAATTTATGGTCCAGAGACACTGTCACATGCACAACTTACCATGACGATATTTCAGATGTTGATACTTCGTCTGTGAAAAAGTATTGCAATGTTAGTCTACCTAGTAATCCTGCGGTTTCCTTCCATTTCTTCTTCATGGGGCAGTAAGAATATGGGAAGGAAAAAAAGGTGCTAAAGAAAAAGAAAACAGAATATGCAATGTAGCTAATGGCCATTATCTTATGTATCTTCAGAACTACATGGTAATCAGAAAGGCAATTCTCTTATCTCTTCTGAAATGCATTCTCATCATAGGTAATGTTATCAAATTTGTCACCGTTCCCTTTCCTCTTCATGATTTTGGGAATCAATCGAGTTACATCTTTGGCCTCTGACATTGCTTCCCCATTTGTTTATCTGCTCAAAACGAACAGCACTAAGCTTTTGGGCATTTGCAGCTAATATCTGCACCAGGAACAACATTTCACTTACATTAATCAGTAATTCAATTGTGTGCTCAAGATTTAGAATTATTAGTCGATACAGTTATCACATGGATAGTTTATTTTCCAGAAAAAATGTTTAAACTTGAATGTTACACAAGAATAGAGCATGTGAATTATTATTATCAGTTGCTAAGTTTCATTTAGCAAACTAAGCCACCAAATGAAGCATCTCGTAGGATGAACAATATAAAAGCAAATTCCTATATGAACAAATGCATGCCCCCATAATAACATTGATTTCAGAAAGTTACATGTGGAAGAGAGTCAAGAGACTGCATGATAGGTAATTAGGCTTACCTTTGAATCATTTTCATCAAAGATTTCTCCAACAATCTCCTCAACCACATCTTCTAAGGTTACTATCTGCTCCATCAAAAAATGAGTACATAAATATATAAAATCAATCAGTCAATAAAATGAGCACAAATACTGTTAAATAAGCAATCCAAAAGAGAAAGAAAACCCATGCATAGTAAGTTCTAGACTTTTTGTGTTCTCATGCTGCATATTCCACTCTTATCTGAACTTTAGAAGAAAAATGATTTCAAAACATATGAGAGAGCATTTGAGTTTCAACTGCAGGGAACTCCTTTGTCTCCTTTACCATGTTGAACCTGATATTAGTGTTGCATGCCAAACCTTCTGAAGTTCAGATTTGAATAACATCCTCATGCTAGAAGCTCATGAGTTAAGGATTGAGGGGTCATACCAACCATTTAGATTTTAAGTGGTCAACATATTATCCTGTTTGACTTTTTACCATCATTTGTTTTATTGAGTTTATGTTATGGCATTTGGATGCCAACAAACAATGAACAAATACTACTTTAAGTGGGCAAAAAGAACAAGCTAATAAAGAATAAGATTTTGCCTTTAGGACTTTTAGCTACAATTGAAAAAATTTTGTTTAGTTTTTTAGCCTCTTAGTAGGGGAAGCATTGTTAGCATGTAATTGTAGAATAAAGGTCAAAATATCACAAATGTTGTGTAATATCCCAAAATTTTGGGGTATTCTAGCATTAAATTAGGGACTTATGTGTGAAAGAAATATTATTTTGGGCTTAATTGCAAAATTTTCAAAAGTTGGAGGACTTAAAAAAAGAAAGGAAATTAGGATAAGAATGGTTGAGTTTTTCTTTCTTTCTTCTTCTTCCTTATCCGCGCGATCTACTCTTCTTCTCTCCGTCCCGTGCGGCCGACCGAAGCTCCCCAGCCACCGCCACCCATTTCCGGCCAGAAACACTGGCAAAGCTTTGGGATTTCTCCCTATTTTCTTGTTCTAGACACCTAGTAAACCCAGAAATTTCCCCCACCGCTCTGCAGAATCCGGATCTGCTCTGCTCTGCTCTGTCCGGTTGCTGCTCTTGCTAGTTGTGGGTGCAAATTCCTTTGAATTTTCGGTAAGCAACAGCCATAAATTCCTTTGTTCTTGCTTGAATTGGCTTGGGCTTACCTTAATTGCTCTCGGTTCCTTCAATTTTTGCCAGCCCCGTGAGTTCCCTGCACTGCCACCGGCCTCCCCCAACCCGCTAGCTCCAGCCTTGCTTGCTGGAAATTTCTGGTAGGTTGGCTTCTTTAACTCTTGAAAACTAGTTGATTGGGTTTCTGCTTTTGAATTGCTCTGTGCTGTCCGAAACCTTACCGGAAAATGGGAGGAATTCCGGTAGCTTTAGGACCATGAGTTAGCTTGATTTAAGTGGAATTTATGTGATCGACTGTTAATTTATTGTTGTGTGATTTTTGGAGAAAACCCTGTGAATTAGCTATGTTTTGCCAACTTTGAGAGTTGAAGTTACTGTTCACGGGTACTGTTCACGGGTACTGTTCACGGGTACTGTTCACACACCGAGGGTCAATAATTAACGGGGATTTAAGGGTTTAGTTTGTGATATAAGAATGAATTTGGAGATGTCCTGTTATGTGGAGATTGATAGAAATAGCACCGTGATTAGGGGTAGTGCTAATGATGATTTTACTTGAATTTGTGGTACCACAGTATTAATTGTGGAATATTGTGATTAGGTTTTGATCGTTCTGTCGCCGTAGTGCTTGGGTTAGCCTTTTGTTCTGTGCGAGTGAGGTAAGTAAATTATGGTAAAGCCCTTTGATTTTAAAGCATGTTTTAAACTGTTTTTGAGATGGTGGCAAGCTTTAAATTGATTTTAAATTGATTTTATCAACATCTGAATGTGATTAAACTGAAATGAAAATTGTGATGGTTTTTATGAGAATTTCATTGTTTTTCTGGAATTGAGCATGATTGGAATGAAAATGGGAATTTCATTGTTTTTCTGGAATTGAGCATGATTGGAATGAAAATGGGAATTTCATTGTTTTTTGGAATTGAGCATGATTGGAATGAAATTGTTTTCATTGCATTGAGTAGAGCATGCCTATTTAGAATTGACTGAACTGTTTTGATGAACTTAGAGTTTGCAAATTCTGAGTTTTCTGTTAAATCCATGCTCACATGGAAATTTTTCGGTTATTTCTGAAATTGGAGATTGATTGCGAATTTTGGGTTTTTCTGTAAATTTTGCATGGTTTTGTCTTGGATATAGTCATGATTACTGACACCCGCTAGTGGGAGCTGTAAACGCTAGCACATGTCGACATGTATTTCTGTAGAACCGGTTCACCCTGCCAATGGGGTTAAACATTGGTCATTACTGACGCCTGCCAGTGGGAGTTGTTAAACACTGGTACCATTACTGACGCCTGCCAGTGGGAGTTTGTAAACACTGGTACTTCTGAAACCCTACCAATGGGGTTAAACATTGATTATTACTGACGTCTGCCAGTGGGAGTTTGTTAAACACTGGCAATGACTTATAGATGAGACTACTGATGAGTTTTATTATGCATGAATGGTTTATCATTGAAAGTTCTATTATGTTTACATGGTTTATCTGGCATGTTTAAAAGTTTTACCCAAGGGCTATCCATATTTACTTACTGAGTTATCTCATAGTTTTCCTTGTTTACCATTTTAGGAAGCGAAACCGAGGACGGGGAAACTAAGGGGAGTGATGAGTTAGAAGGCTAGCCATCTTGTAAATTGATTGTGGAGTTGAGATATAGATCATGATCTTGTAAAACTAGAGTTTAATTGGAGACTGTTATAAATTCATTTAGTGGATTATTAGTTTATAAGAGATTTGATCTAAAAATTTTGAGGTTGTTATGTTGGACATGGAATTATTTTGAAATGCTTGATTTGAGTTATTGGATTATAAGATGTGAATTGGATAAGTTCTGAGCCTTGTGCATTTGTGAGACCCTCTCACGAGTGCACGGCGTCTGTCGCGCCTCGAAATTGGGTTTTGGAGCGTGACATGTTGTCTCTTACTGTTTCAAGATATTACAAGTTAGCATAAGTTGACATGCGTCACAAAATAAAAATAAATAAAAAGGCAGAAGTTGGAACTTCATCATAATAAAAAAATCGATTAAATACCCTTTTTGGTCCCTCTATTATAGGAAAAAGCCTTTTTTTAGTCTCTATATCGAAAAAATTCCCTTTTTAGTCCTTACTGTTCATAGATCCGGTCCCTTTTTAGTTCTTCCGTTAAATTTTAGTTGACATGGCAAGTTAATTAACAGAAAATTTTATTTTTTTCTTTACTTAAATTACGTGGAAAATCCATTCAGCAAAACTCGATGACATGGCCAAATTTTTTATCTTTAATTACCAATTTAGCCTCATCTTCTTCCTCCATCCTCTCCTTCCTTCAGCCTTTTTTTTTCTTTTTTTTCTTACCTTCAGGCGAACCTAAGAGCCTGGGTTCGTCGCGAACCCAAAAGCCTGGGTTCATCGCAAACCCACAAGCTGGGTTCATGACAAACCCACAAGCCTAGGTTCACGATGGCGAACCCATGAGCTGGGTTCATCGCAAACCCAGGTTAGGTTCGTTGCGAACCTAGGCTAGGTTTGTCGCAAGATTCCCTGCTCGTGGATCTTTGATTACTAAACATACTTCATTTAAGACGCAAATTTCATATAAGAAGACAACATCCGTTTCAATCTTAAACTTCTCGAACTAATGATTTTAATTTTGAATTGATTGTTGAGATCAGACTTGGGAAAGTAGAGACTATTACTTCATATTATTATAAAAAAGCAACAAAAGTGTAAAATCAAGATCCAAACAGGACAGTGTCCAAGAAACCAAAAAAATTTTCTGGAAACATCTCATCGCTACTCGGCTTACTGTTAGTATTTTCGCAGAACGTGAAGAACTATTGCATATGAAAGAGCTTCATCAAATTTTTCTCACTGAAACATTCAAATCCTTCTGTTTCTAGATCGATTTCGATCTCAAATTTCACAAGTAACTTATGAAACATAACTAAGCTCAAAATATAGCTGAAATCAAATAAAAATCGCTCATTCAACTCCTAATCTGGAAACCGACAAGAAACTGCAAATTGAAGTCTAGATCGAAATCATCATCGCATTTAAGGCTTTAACAGTGAAGTAGTTTATGAATACAGAGAAGAGTAAGCATGCAAATGAGAGAAGTTCAGGCAAAAGCTGAATTCGAGAGAGAAGTACCAACAGAACTTGGAGCAAGCAGTAGGAGATCTGCAGTTGCAAATCCCCTTCAATCTCTTCAATCGATTCCTCATCTTCTGTATGTGTCGTTGAGTTTCTAAGTCTCTGTACATGAAAATTTTCGCGTTTGATTTGAAATTTTCTGAATCTTGCAATAAACCTAGCTTGGGTTTGCGATGAACCCAGCTCGTGGGTTCACGATGGCGAACCCAAGCTCATGGGTTCACGATGGCTAACCCAGGCTCGTGGGTTCCTCATGAACCCGCAAGTTGGGTTCGTCGCGAACCTCTCAAGCTTGGGTTCGTCGTGAACCTCGCGAGCACCTAGAGGTAAAAGAAAAAAAAGAAAAAAAAAAAAGACTAGAGGAAGGAAAAACGGGGAAGAAGATGAGGGTATATCAGTAATTAAGGGTAAAAAATTTAACATGTCATCAATTTTTGCCACATGGATTTTCCACGTAATTTAGTTAAAAAAAAGAATGAGTATTTCCATTAATTAACTTGCCATGTCAGCTAAAATTTAACGAAAGGACTAAAAAAGAGCTGGATTTATGAACAGTAAAGACTAAAAAGGAGATTTTTTCGATACAGGAACTAAAAAGGAGCTTTTTCCTATAGTAGAGAGACCAAAAAAGGTATTTAACCTCAACACAATGAATGATTATGTTTAAGTAGAGTTTCAATATGAGGCTTTGCACATACCCCAACAGTTCCGCCATATCCATTAAGAAAAACAGCCATGTGAACCTTTCTGATCTGGAACTCTCCAAGAAGATTCCACACTGACATTGAATTTGCAAAATCAATTTTCTAAATTTTACTGTATAGATAATTGAAGCATTCTATTTTTTCCATTTTCTTTTCCCCTAGACAATAACTACTAAAACAACAAATCAGTCTGCTGAAACAGGGTCTTCTTCACTTCAATTGATTATAAAAATCAAAAAGGAAATGATGCCTTCACATAAAATGTGGATAATATTGCGCGCAAATGGAGTAATTGCAATTAAAAAAGAAAAAAAAAAACTATGCAACTACCTCAATCAACCAGTGGTAGTGTCATAAAAAGTTAGAAAGTGTTAATATCAACCCAAAGGACATTATTAAATATTAACTAGAGAAAAAAATTAAGGGTTAGCAGGCACAAAGTAGGCAGGTTTGTGAGCCATGTCTCTCACAGTAGAACTTTCAAGTTGCTCACCCTCACCAGTTCCCAAAAAAAGAAATAAAAATCGAAGTGATTATAAATCTGCATGCTATGATATTGACATTGTTGCATATAATTGATACGAAAAGTTCTAATGATGGAAAAAAGGGTACATTGAAGGGGGAAATTGCCTGACTTTCAGAACAAAATCAAGTAGATCCATTGCATATGCAATGCCAACTATATTGTCAACACGCTACTCAAAAACAGGTACCCTGTAAATAGAAATCTTTCAACAAGTTTCTTGAAGGAGACAAAACCTTGGAGATGAATTACCAATTCCGTACCTTGTGAGTCACCCACAGATGTTGGAAATCAACAAGAGTTGCACTTGCATCAATTGCAACCATATCAACAAGGGGTGTCTCTACCTCTCTAACATGAGTATCCTTTATCTCTAATACATTTTCAATCATATCCTGCAAGGAATTCATAAAATCAGAACATCTAAACTGTAAACAAACAGAAAGGCACCTGTTGGCAAAAAAATTAAATTGGATTTCCAATAGAATCTGATTTTAAAACAGAAATTGCTAGAGAAATATATGGCCAGGAAAAGATACGCTCTACTGTAAATGCGCAACCAGAGTCAAGCATAGATGATACTGATCAATTTGATCCCAGTAAAAGAATTCAAAAACTGAATAAACTCCCTAATTCTTATTTGAAACAAAAGAGACACTCAGGCCAGTACAGTAAAGAAAAATTAGCTTATTTCACTACCTGCTCTTCCTCCTCTATTGCTCCACTCAACTCTGCCCCACCTAGCATCAGCTTTAATTCATCTTCAGTAACATAAGGCTCACTAATTTAAAGAGAAAACATGCAAAGCATTCATAAAGCAGTCAATACGAACTTAACAAACAACTAGATTCTGGAAACAAAAAATATAACAGACAAAAAGGAGGATATGATTTCCTTCACCTTTTCCCTTTTAGACCAAGTAATTTAAGCATTCCCATTGATAAATAAGTAACAATTCTTCCCACTGGATATAGTATCAAGGAAAGCCATGCCACTGGCCTGACCTAGTGACACAGCAAGCAGCATTAGCCAAATAATTTTAATTTGCTAGCAGTCATCAGCTAAGTAGAAAAGAGTTAAATAGAAACATAGATCATGGAGTTTGAAAGAGAAAGTTAAAGTTTTTCTGCAAAGTTTTAGTTGCCAGTTCAAGAAGAAAATGGAAACTTGAATGGAAATTAGAAAACTTACCCCAGATCTAGCCAACTCCGTGGGATTGTGAACAGCTATACTTTTTGGAGTGATCTCAGTAAGAAGCAAAATAGCAACCTGGAATAATCCAGGAAAAATTCAATGATTATGATTTCTTTCAATCTTTTATGTTCTTTTTTTTTTTTTTTTTGGAAAAAGGCAAGCTTTTCCATTGCATGAAAACAACATATCTACAATAAACACTCACGCATACCTGGGTTTAACATATCACCTGACACTCAAAATTACAACTGCAAAAAGTAAAAAAATTGATTTTTTCTTCTTCATTTAACAAAGCTTCTATGCCTTTCAATGTGCACAGATATGTACAGGCCAGAAACAAATTTATTTATGAGAAAAGGAAACAAAAAGTATAAAAATATCAAAGACCGTTTGTTGTTGCTCTGTAGGATAGCTTCAGATTAATAATTTTATAAGTGAGTTGAAAAAAAAAAAGAAGAAAAAAGTAGTAAAAATGGAAAATACCCCTTGAAGAAAATAAGCTAAGCCTGTCATGTACCCTATACAAGACATTTTTTTTATTTTCTAGTAAAATATCAACTCCTTTATCAACAATATAAAAAGAGAAAGATCTGCAAATTAATCTACTACATCAAGAATGACTAGTGCCCAAAGGTTTGGATACCCATAATATTGAAAAAAGAAAAATAAAGAATGACCAGTGCCCTAGTGTTGAAACCTACAATACCAATTCTCTGATTCAAAGGCCCTATGGTCTCAAAAGATCCAGCTCACTTACCATTACCACCTTCCCATTATCATTGAAGTAGGGGGAAAAAAAACACATGATAAACAACCAGCCCACCTACCTTTTGATTATTCTGCAGTCTATTAGAGTCACCCAACATGATTTCATTGTTTTTGTAACAGTCAACTCTACAACTCAGATGCTAACTTAAAGAGATTTATCCTAAAGCAATTTAAGCATTTTACTTTAATTTACTACAAATTCACAATGTGTTACATACAAGCACAAATAGAAGCAGGCAAGGAGGTTGGGTATGTGGGACACGTAGAGAGGATAGAATTTTTATATACATATAGTCATTACTCCAATTGTTGCCCTAACACCAACTTCTCCAAATATTGCTGTTGCTGCATCGGTAACTAAAGCAGTCACTCCAACATTGACCGTCCTAGTGAGAAAAACAGAATCTAAAAATAAATCACACACCAAAGTTAACATAGACACACAGAACTGGGTCAGTTAAGTGATGATGGGAAAGACTAGTATGTAGTGCCAATAAGATTGGTGGTCAAAAACCAGGTTACATCACTGTGAAGCGTTTGAAATACACCATCTTCAGACACTAAACCCAATATTTAAGTCAGCAAATGCCATTGCACAACAACCACAAACTTCATATATTTATCTAAACCGTAGAAGTTACTGAAACATTAACAATCAATAACTGTTAATGTTCTTCAATTTCATATATTTAACCTTTTTGATGTTTTCGTACTAAAATTCAAATTTCAATTGCTATTCACTATTATAAGAACCATCAATCTTCAAACAAAGAAAGCAAACCTTCCATGGCCAAAGTGTAGTTATAGAAGTCTCTGCCATTGAGAAGAATGTAGATAGACCTAAAAGTGCAATCAGAATCACACCTTGCTCTTTGAAAATCTTAAGAACCACAGAAACCTTAGGCCACACATTCCTCAACAACAACCCCACTGCTCAACCACTCCGCACTCTGCATTCACCACTCCCTCTGCCCGCAAGCACTCTCCTGCATGCAAAAACCAAAAGACAACAAAGCATTGCCCAAATAAAGACTCCTTGCTTTAGCAAAATCTTCAGAGACTTCAAATCTAGGCCTAAAACCTCACCTTGGTCACCACCCAGATCATTGTTTTCTTCACTTAACGATCTCAGATGAGCTCTACCGCCAACAATGAGGAACACTTGGATACGGAAATGAAGGAGGGTCGATTGATGACAGTGGGGAT